ACCCACCCACGCACCCGCCCATCCGTGTAGCCGGTCTGGGATACCACCCCAACACCCAAGAGGAAGTGGCTTTCACTTACAACCGCGTCTTGCTCGCAGTGCACGCAGATGAGACACAACAGTGAGTTCCACTCCCAGAAGCCCTTCCAAGAACATCGAGAAAGGGTTTCCTGAGGCCCCGTGGGTGACGCTGAACGAGAAGGGAATCCGAGAGGCCGTGAGCCCACCTGCAGGCCCAGGGGGGAGGGGTGGGGGGGCACAAATGGCCAGGATGGAGGCAATGGTGGGTGACAGGCATGGGGAGCAGTGGGCAGATCTGAGAAATGCGCAGGCACAGGCCAGAATGTGGGGGTGCAGAGAGAATGGGGAGCGACCACAGCGCGCAGCACAGTGACTTCCGCAGACGTGGCGGCGGGAGGGATCTGGGCCCCCAACACAGAGGACGCGGCTGGGACTGGAACGCTCCAGACTTCAGCCCGGGCCACCTCTGGAGCGGGGCCTCCGCCCGGCCCGCTCCAGTCCCTGCCATTAGCAGCCCAGGAGGCACAAGGCAGTCACCACTGTGGGTGGACTCCACCCCTGCCCGGCAGCCCCCAGCAGCGGCTCGGCTGCCACACAGACAGGAGTGTGCAAACTGGGGCCTTCAAGTGCCCTGTCGACGTGTGACATCGTCACGACACACCCAAGGCCGTGCACCAGCCGTTCGGCTGAGTGTGCAGGGAAGCACCGAACTTTGGGAGCCCAGGGTGCTGTGTGCATGGCACATCCAGCAGCAAACGGCCCGTGGGCCGGGCTGTGACGTCCGGGCCTGGAGCTCCGGTGTGCGCGGGAGCCCAGAGCCCAGCCCGGGCTCGGGGAAAGGCCCAGAGGGCAGCAGAGCGTGTCCCTGGGCTGCAGCCTGGAGCCCCTGCCAGGGCTCCGTGCTCCCAACCTGTTGCTTGTCTACCTAGTGGCTACGAGAGCGCCCGTCAAGTGGGATTCCGAGGGCGGAGGGTGTTCGGTACTTCATTAAAGAGCGGAAATCGCTGAGGGCCGTGACTGATGGTCAGGGGGGCCCAGCCGCTAGGCAGGGGTCTCCTGAGCCTCCCGACTCCCTGCTCTTGGGCTACAGCAGCAGCAAGCCCCTACCCCCGGACCTGGGGGGAGCAGCTGGGGAGGCAGCAGCTGGATTGGGGGGGACAAGGAGAACGGGCTTCGGGGGGAACCCAGTTCGGGTCCTCACCTGAGTGTCCTCTGGTCTAAGTGTCCAGGTTCCCCCAGCACAGCCAGGCATGCCCCGCCCACCCCTCGTGACTGACAGGGAGTCCTGGCTGTGAGTGTGGGCATGTTACTTGCTCTCTCTGTGCCTGGGCCTCCGCATCTGTCGAAGGGGCTCGTAACACCACCACCTGACCAGCGAGCATTCAAGGATGTAACACAAAGGGCTTGCCACAGAGCCACCCTCCCACCCATTCGCCTGCCCGCCCGCCTACTCTTCCACTTAGCCGCCAGGTCCCCATCCCTCCCTCCCCAGCCAGCCTGCAGCCCATGCCAGGTGCTGTGCTCCGCCTGGAGAAACGAGTCCCTCCAGGGAGGCTGCTGAGATGGACGCAGTGAACAGAGGCCTGGCCTGCTGGGCGCTGTGAGGGAAGCGGCCACCGAGCACCCACGTCAGCAGCTGGGAGGCGAGTGGGGGCGTCTGTCAGGATGTATGTGGCCCCGAACACAGGGCTTACTCAGCCAGAATCAGGAACCTTCCACAATGCAGATCACGGTGTAGCTCTATGCCGGCCGCAGACCATGACAGCAAGGACGGTGGCCACCCTGTCCCTCCAGCTCCTGGCTCCGTGACCAGCCCAAGGAAGGGGATGACCCATGGTCTGCTCATGTTGAGCGGGGCTGGTCATTCACGGCAGGGGGACGAGACGGTCTGCTCAGGGTGTCCCAGCCAGAACAGAGTGCAGTCCGTGTGCGTGCGAGGACAGTGAAGGCACTGTAACAGGGGCGAGGACGCTCTCGCGCGTCATAGAACTGGCACAGTGAAGAGCCTGAATATATAAAGAGCTCCTACAATTCAACAACAAAAAGACCAACCACCCTTAAGAAACGGGCCAAGGAATGAAGCCAATGTACAAAGAAGAGACGCAAACAGCCGATGGGCAGGTGCAAAGAGGCTCAAAATCATTGGCCACTGGGCAAAGGTAAGTCCAAACCAGAGCGAGGCACCGCCTCACACCTACCAGGAAGGCAGCCGTTAGGTAAAGACACAAAATGACAAGCATGGGTTGGGACGTGGAGAAGCCGGAACCCTTGCACCCACGGGAACCGGGGCTGCGGCGATGTGGAACGGTGCAGCCGCGGCCCCCGTCTGGCGGTCGCTGAGAAAGCGGCAGATGGGACACAACGAGCCCACTTCCAGGGGCCCCCCCAAAGGGACTGAACCCTGGGGCTGGGACACCGCATGCAGCACCAGGGACAGCCACCCAAGGTGGGGGTCACACCCATGTCCACCGGCGGATGAATGGATAAACCCCCTGCATACACTGGAGTGTCACTGGGCTGTAAAAAGGGACGCAGCCCCGGCCCGGGTGGCTCAGTCGGTTGGGGCCCTGCCGTAAGGGAAGTGCTGCGGGTTTTGTTCCCGGTCAGGGCACACACCTAGGGTGCGGGCCTCGGACAGGGTGTGTACAGGAGACAACGGATGGATGTTCAAAGGATCAGAAAGGCAACCCCGCCCCTCCCCTACCCAAACCTGTTTGTCCCACGTGACGCAGACGCCCCTCTTACTCTCGGGCCCCCCAGCCAGTGCCTTCCAGCACACACACAGCCTCTGCCTGCCCCCCACACCCGTGGGTGCAGCATCTCAGCCTGGACACCGCCTGAGCCTTGGAGGCAGCTTCTGCCCTCCCCACGCAGCCTGCTCTCTGTGGCGAGGCCAGAGGGTGACCGCCCCACCCTGAGGCTGCTCCCGCCCCCCTGCTCCAGGCCCTCCCGCAGCTCCTGTCTCACCCGGCCCAGGTCCCCACAGTGTCCGGAGACCCAGCCCAATCCAGTTGCCCCTGCTGCTCCTTCCCATCCCCCCTTCTCCCCAAACTGTCCCCGTGACCCCCCCCGCCCCCTGGCATGTTTCAGGCACTCCAGGCTGTTCCCCCTGCAGAATGCTATTCCCCGCTTCCCCCAGGAGGGCGTGGCCTGTGTGGCATCCCCCCCGTTCCAGTTCCACTTTTCTGCATGAGACACGTTGCTAAGCCAGCAAATGAGATATTTAATTAGGTATTTCTGACGGTCAAGAAAGTCCCGAGGGCCACGCCTTTGTCTGCTCTGTCCCTGGCTGTGTCCTAAGGCCTGAGGACCCAGGGTCAGGCACCCAGCTAGCTGTCACCGCTGGTGAGGCAGGCGAATGGAGGATACAGGAGAATGAGCCCCCCAGTGTCTGCCCCGAGGGATGGGAGAGCAGCGGGCCCCGTCTCCGGGTTCTGCCCCACTCGCCAGCAGCTGGACGTCCGGTGACTGCTCCGTGCCTCAGCTTCCCCACCCTAAACAGGGACGACGTCAGGGCCCACCACAGGCGGTGATGAGGGCCGCAAGCACACCCACGGGCGAGCTCTCTGCGCTCTGCTGGTCTTCCCCCTGGGCCTTCCTCTTCTCCTTCATCCCTGCCGCCCTCCAAGCCCAGGATGCCGTCAGTGTGGAGACGCCCCTGGGGCATCCCACCAGGGTTTTGCGGGATAAACAGGAGTGCGTTAGGCGGAGGTCCTGCCGCCTCCACCTGCCCCCACAGGAGGTACAGACTCCGGGCTTGTGAACCAACGGTTTCTCAATAAATAACAAGGGAGCCGGTGGAGGAGCCAGGATATGAGGGGCAGGGCTGACCCTCGATTGCTCGGGGGAGTATTGGTCCTGGGTCTGTTTTGGAGCGCCAGGTGCGATGCACTTCTGAGTCTCTCCGACGTGGCTTATTTTGAGGAATTCTCGTGAGAGGGACGCTCTGGCCCAGCTTTCCTGGCCGGCTCCTCCAGCCACCACTTTCCTCCAGCGCCCGGCTCTCCCCTCTGCCCTCTGGCTGGCGGGACCCTCCCTCTCCCTCCTGGGCCCTTAATCCGATGGGTACACAGGGTCACTTCTAGAAAGAAGCCAAACTGGGCTGTTTATGAAACAGGCACCAGGCAGAGATTCTCTTTGGAAATCCAAAAAGAAAAAATGGGGGTGGGGAGGGGAGAGGGAGAAAAAAGGATGAACAGGAGGGCTTCCCAGGCTGAGCGGGCGGCTCCGGGGTGAGGCGGCACTGTGACGGAGGGGCACGGGTCCCCACCTGGGTGCTCGGGAGGGTGGCCAGCAGGGCCAGCTCAGTGACCAGAGCCCGCCTGCTCCCAGGTCTACTTCATAACCTCTGAACTAGGAGGGGGAAATTGTCCAGGAAGCATGGCTCGGGTCATTTATTTTAAAATTATTGGTATAAAAATATCCAGGGTCGTGATTTATGGGCAGGGAGAGGCCCAGGAAGCGAGGGCGTCCCCCCCAGCCCGTCCCGGCCTCATTCATCTCCACCCCCCCACCGCGTTCATCTGCTGTTTCCATTATGACTTCGAGTCATAGTAGTTACTTTGTATCGCAAACAAATCTCCAGAAGAGCACGGAAATATTATGTGTATTAATAGCGCCTGTAAAAACATCCGAAATCCTTCCATCCACCCGGCGGTGGACGCAGGACGCAGCACGGCCGAGGGGTGCTCTCTGGGGACTGGGAAAGCTCCAAGGGCCCCAGCAGTGGCCCTGGGGGCACGCCGCCCCCCAGGCTCCGGTTTGGCTGCCATCTGTCTGCTTGTGGGTGCCCCCAGTGACCTGGGACCAACAAAGTGCACTCCTCACCCAGGAGGAGCGCAGGGACATCCTTGCCAAGGAGACGGCTCCCTGCCTCCCACCCCTGAGTGCCCCTCAGTCCTTGGGAAGCCGCCTGCCCAGGGATGCGACCCTCCTCCCCACTCCCGCGGCTCTCGCACACCGCACGCCCCGATACTCACGGGCTGCAGGGTCTTCCTTGGGAGACAGCCCCTCGAGGCCGATGTCGCTCTCCAGCATGGCCGGGCTCACGGCAGCTCCGGCGTGCCCGGACGCACCGGGTCCAGGAGAGGGGTGACTGGTCTTTGGGGGCCCTGAGGGTTGGGGTCCGAGCGCAGCTGGTGAGGGGACAGCCCCCCTCCTCTCTAGACGCAGGACACGAAGAGCGGCGCGCGCTCGCTGGAGCCGAACTTGGTCGCCCTGGCGCACCTCCGCGCCGCTCCTCCCCCTCGGCTTTTTGGGCTGGGGGTCCCGGGCCAGCCTCCCGCCCCCGGGGGGCCTACCTGCGGACGCCGCCCTCGCCCCGCCCCGTGCAAATCGACTCCCCCGCGGTCACCCAGGCACGGAGCGAGCACAGGGGACTCCCGAGACGAACAGCCTCTGTGCTCGGCCCGCGGGTCCGGCCCGCCCCCGCCTTCCCTCCGCGGGCGAGTCTCCACCGGCTCCGGGCCGTCTTATCAGTCGCGGCAGCCAGTGGGGCCCTGGACAGCCATGTGAGGAGTGCCTTTCAGCTGGGCCCCCAGGGAAGGATGCCTGCTGGGGAAGTGGCGGGGGTATCAGCCGAGCCCCTGAGAGGCACAGCGTGGGGCGATGCCGTGGGTGGCCCATCTAGCGTCAGCGAGGGCACTCGGCCCCCTCCCCCCGGTGGCAGGACCCTAATACCTCCCCCTCTCAACTTGTCAGGGAGGAGGCGGCAAAGCCCTTGCACGGCAAGGAGAACTAGAGGTCACAGGACAACTGCCAGCCTGAACTTGAACCCCAGCCCGGGAAGCTCTTGGAATCTGAGTCAAGAGAGAACTACCCCCCAAACCAGAGAAAAATCCTGTGAGAGAAGGATTCTGGTTAAGTGAGGCTAAGAAAACTCCACGGAGGTGGGGGGGGGGCAGGCAGGGGCCTCTGACCACATCCTGCCCTGGCCCTGCGCTGGCGGGAGGTGCCACCGCCCAGCCCTGTCTGCGTGCAGAAGGCTGGGTCGGGGCCATTCAGCATCCGCCCTGGCCACAGAGATGCAGGGGGGTGCAGAGTGCTGCAGGGAAGGCCCCCCGCCCCCGCCGGGTCTGCTCCAGCCTCACACCCAGGACACCGCAAATAGATCCAATAAGTGCTGAGCGGCGCTGCCCGCGAGAGCTCGCTAAATTAAGCCGCTCCTCAACCACAGCACAGCGGTGGCGGGATGGGGGCAGCCCGCATGACATTTCAAAAGGTCATCTCACACTTTCTGCACCACCAGGAGGAGCTAGGCTGGTGCGGGCGCCCTCCTATGCCAGGGACCCCTGAGTCACCTGCCAAGTTGACACTCCCCAAGCTACCAGCTTTAGCTGGCCCCTGGTGGAGACAGACCCAGCCGCCCTGTGGGGACAGGCCATCTCCACACGGAAGGGGTCTATGCCTGGGGTCTGTGGGGGGTGCCCACCTGACCCACCCAGGCCTGCTGGCACCCGCACCATTGCCGGGCTCTGGGCAGAAACTCCTGGTCGCAGCAAAACCACGAAGAAAGGCCTCTGTTCCAGAACGTGCTTCCCTGCCCCTGACCCGGTGTGCTGCGTGGGGGGAGGAGGCTCCAGTGCCCTGCCTCCCCAGGGGTCAGGGAGAGAGGCGCCTGCCCTTGCCAGTCCCCTTCCGGTCTGGACTGCTCAGGAGACCCCAGGGGGGGCTCCTTGGCCTCCAAGGAGGAAGCTCACCTGTGAGGGGTCTGCGGAGGAGCCCCCCCACCCCCCCGCGCTGCCCCAGGAGGGAATCAAGGCACCGCTGCGTGGGAATCGAGATCAAAACCCATTTTTCTTGGGAAGGCCAGATAGCCAGCGTGATGCATCGCGGTAGCTCAGTTGTGTAAATACACAGAGAAAATTTTAGAATTCTAACCCCCGGAATGATGAACTATAAACCGAAAAGGCTCAGGGGGAGAAAAATGTAAATATGTCCTGGGCTATTTTAAACCACTATTGTTTACCTTTTTGGGCCAGAGATGGGCTATTGTACATTTATCCAGCCTTACTTACAATGCCCATTGTTGAATGCATTCTTATTAGCAGAAATATGCTAAATGGCCACTAATGGGTGTTAGGTCATCCCAACGGAAGCCATCTTTCTTCCTTTCGGTTTCTTGGCTCTCCCCAGCCCTGCGGCCGAGCCCCCGACACGCAGAAGAGCAGCCGTGGACCGAGGCTGTTTCGGCAGCCGTTTCACGCCATCCAGTTTGAAAAGATATTTTAGTAAATGCCCGAACCAGCTCATTTTTGCAACGATTGGTTTCAGCTGCTATTTTGGTGTGTGCGGCTGGGTGAGCAGGGTGCCAGGCCGGGGAGAGTTGGGGCTCCCACGTGGCCGGAGCGAGGACAGAGCCCTGGCAGGAGAGGGAACGCCCAGGCCCGCCGGGCCTCCAGGGAGCCCCTCGGGGCGGTCAGAAAGGGCCTGCGTGTGCCAGAAAGATGTTTATGCCGAAGGCAGGCTGACCGGGGCAAGTGGACTGGCGCGGGGAGGCGGCCCACTTGTCCCCCGCGGCCGTCATTACAGGACCCAGCAATCACTCCACACAATGCTTATAATCACGGGAAATGGTTCTCCTTTCCGAGAGGCAGTGAGTGGGGGAGAGAAGGCAGCTCCTGGCGGTCGCACCCAGGCCCGGCCCAGGTTTCACATGGGCTTTGCTGGGCAAGAACACCAGGCCTCGTGGAGACCCTGCTGGCCCCTGACTCAGAGCCACCAGCAGCAGCCCCCAAGTCACCATGGTGGCACCCCACCGCCGCTCAGGAGCCAGTCAGAGGCCGGAGCTGACCCAACATGCAGAAAAATGTCACCAAGCCGCCCCCTGCAGCCCTGGCAGTGCGCCCCCTGCGGTAGCCCAGCCCCTTGTTAGGCCAGGAAATGAACCCCACGCCCCCCACAGTCAACCCCCAACCCCTCCCTCCACCCCTCCCCCACGGGCTTTCTGCCGGAGGATTGGTCGGTTCAGACAGTTCACGGAACCGTCTCATGCAGTCTCCGGTCTCTGTGCTGCTTCTCCCTCAGCGCTTTTTCTTCCCTAATGTATCACGTGCCCGGCGTCCATCCCCACCACAGCACGCGTCGGGGCCTCACTTCCTTCCGCGGCTGCATGGCCACAGCTGTTCACCGGTCGGCGAGCATTTGGGATGCTTCCCAGGGGTCCCGCCAAGCGTCCTTCAACGACCTGAGGGTCCCTGGCAAGGCTGGGCAGAGGGTGCAGTGGCTGTGCCGTGCAGACGGCCAAGGAGGAGGGGACGGGGAGCGGGCAGTGGGCAGCTGCTCAGGGCTGAGACCAGGATGGGTGGGTCGAGGGTGTCGGAGCGAGCCGGGCCCGCACTGCTGCGGAGAACCGCCGTGAGTCCGCAGGCTTTGCCCGTGGGGGCTCGTGGGCGAGACCCAAAATCGCCCGGGCTTCCCCTCAGGGCCTGCTTCTGTGACGTGAGCTTAGCCAGCACTCCCCTGCGTGCTAGGCGGCCCTCGGCACTCCGCAGCGGTGCCGGCATCGCTCCCACTTCACAGAGGAGGAAGCCGAGGCTCGGGGAGGTGGAGTCGCTCGGGCCAGGTGACCCCGGGCGCAGCGGGGGAGCTGGGACTCAGACCCAGGCCCTGGCTCCAGAGTCTGCGGCCGAAGGAAGACTTCCCAGCGTCCCAACCAAAACTCTGTCCCCATGAAACTGAAACTCCCTCCCTTCCGCCGTCCCCGGCCCCCCGCACCAACCGTCCTACTTTCCGTCTCCACGACTCTGACTCCTCCAGGGACCTCCTGTGAGTGGGTCACACGGGGCCTGAGTCTGGCGCTTTTCGCAGGGCTCAGTGTGGTCACGTCCATCCACGCTGCAGTGGGTTTCAGAAACATTTTTTTTAAAGCTCATCAAACTTGATGTTCCAAGAACCCAACGTTGGTCTTGGACACAGAAAAATCAGAACCACTGGCCACAAACAAGAGGTTGGCTCCACAGGGCACAATAAAAATGCAGCAAAGTGCCCTTCTGCCTGGTGCTCTGCCCAGAGGCGGGTGCTGACACGGCATGGTGCCACTCGGCAGGAGACTTAAGTGGCAGCGTGGTGACAGACCCCCTGACCCCAAGCCGAGGCCTGGCCATTGACGTGGCCGAAAGTCCGCGGGAGGACCGGAAGCCGGCCCCCTGCACCCTCCAGCGTGCTGCAGCCCCTCTGGTGGCCGGGGCCCCTGTGCCCCCCGAAACACAGAAGGCGGCTTGCAGAGCACTGGAGGCTGGGGGCACGTTTGGGGAGACACCCAGAACAGCAAGGACCCCTCCTGAGTGACCGGCAGACCTGGGAGGTGACCCTGTGGCCTGTCACATTGGCTGTCTCCCCTTTTAGATGCGGGGTGGGGGGCTGCAGGCTCACAGATCTGGGATCAAATAACCATAGTGTGTTAGTGTCCTCTGTCACCTCCACCACGTGGGGTGAGATTTGTCGCTCCCACTTCCAGCCGAGGAAACTGCCACCCGGAGAGAGGGGAGGGCTCACCACCGCACACACAGCTGGTTTGTGGCAGAACCAGGGGTCAAGTCCAAGAGCGGCTGACCCCAGAACCTTCCTCTAGTCCACTTGGGAGCCCCTCCCGCCTCCCCTTAACCTCTGTTTGTTTCTCTGGAGGACACACGAGCGCAGATGGGCCCACACGCCGGCTGCGGCACGTTAGGGCAGGAACAAGGGGAAGGTTATGGAAACAACAGGGAAACCGCATCGCGTCCTCTTGGTTCGTGCATCCGAAGTCTGCGCTCAGGGCCCCTTGGCCTCCCCGGAGTGTGTGTCTGCCGGGTGAGGACTCAGCCCTCGGCGTTCCGGGGATGACTACCGTCTCGCGGCCCGTGCACCCTGCGGGGCCGCCCAAATGGCTCCAGTTTTTGGAATTCAGGGGGTCTCATTAAGGGGGCAGAGCCTGAGGCTCCGAGCTTCGTCACGGGAGGCACGGCCTGGTTTACTCAGAATAAACGTCGCCCACGCCAAGGCCTTGGCAATAAACCGGAGGCCAGACGACGGACTCCAGATAAGTTTTCAAGATCCTGGAGGACGGTGGGTTTCCCCCGAAAGTCCCTTCTATAATTCGACACGCCTGCGGCTTTGTTCCCCTAAAGACCGAGGTTCTATTCAGCCTTTGCAGCGGGGCAACCTCAGGCTTCCTTCAGGAGCCGCCCGAGAAACGCCTCCCCAGAGAAGCTTCGCTTTGCCTGCGTTTGTTTAAAAGTAAACAGCTGTGCAGCCTGTAATCGCCGGGGCGATCGGCTGCCCAAGGCTGGGGCCTTTCTCGGCTGCTTTGCCAGTGAAAAGGTTAGACGCTGCCACCCGAGCGGGGGGGGGGGGCTGCCTGGGAACGGGGGGCCATCCAGCGGCGTGGGCGGCCCAAGGGGGGAGGGGCAGGCCAACGGGGCCTTTTGTGCAAGGGAGCAGTTTTGCCCCAAATACCTGACTTGCCCTCACCTTCCGTGTGGGTGGATGGGGTGCTGAGTCCCAGAGAAAGAGAGCTCAGGGTCAGGCCACCCTTGGGGACGCCGCTGCCCACCCCTGCTCC